TGACCGGGGGTTGCCTGGGCTGCGACCGGGGTAGCTGTTGTTCGATATTTTAGCACGCCTTGGCCTGTTGGGCCGGCATCCTCATTCTATGCTGGTTGATCTTATCCTGACATTGCCATCCTTTTCTCTCCACTAATTTCGACCCTGTTCTCCAGACCCACCCTCTCTCTCGCCAAAAAACTCGTGGCCCGGCGAGGACCCCGAATGCCAAGAGCGGCGAACACATCCACCGTTTGTTTTTCGATACGCTGGAGCTTTGGGATCTTGACGTTACCGCCCCTGCTCTTGCTGGCGGTCGAGGTGGTGGTGGTGTACCGGTCAAGGCGCTGCCAACACACACACAACACACAATCTCCGATCGAGCACTAAGCCCGGTCCAATACTGGACTCGGAAGGAAAAAATGTTAATTCAAACCGGTCCCAAGTCGTGCATGGCCTGCCTCTGGAACGCTTCGGCCTTGCAGGCAACTTCGGATCAGTCACGTCGCCTGGGCTCCACCTGGCAACCACATGCGCCAACGCATTCCGGCCAAGGCGCTGACATGAGGGCCACTTTGGGCTCAGGAGCGGCCCTGGTTTGCGGGCCGCTCAGCAGGCCTATCGGTCGGGGAACCTCTTCGTGGACGGAGCCCGCCGTGGCCACGAAAGCCACTTCGTTCCGGAGGGAAAGAAACGCACAGACACAATCCATCGTCGACTCCCCAGAAGATATGGGAAAACATGGAAAGTGGGGGGGGGAAGACAGAGACCCAGAAAATATGGGAAAATATGGGAAATATCTTTATTCGTGTGTATCTATGTGTGTGTCCTGGGGCCCCTTTGACATTCGTCTGCATCGGCTGGCTCTGGGCCTGCCCGGACAGCCATGGTCGGGGGCAAAGATGAGGGGGGGAGAGACATGGAGGGACGCATGCACCCCCAATCGTCTACAGTCGGGGCCCTGAAGAAGGAACCCTTTTGGTTGGGGAGGGGCTCCGCGTTCCTTAAATGTTTCACAGCTTGCCTCAGGTTTTCCTTATGTTTTCGACAGGAAATCGAAGCTTAACTTATGGAAGAAAGGGGCCTCGTTCCTTATTTAGGGTTCCTTAGGTCAACGCCCCGACGATATTCATCGCCGATCGGGGCCCGATAGCCACAGCGTGCCCAGGAAGCTAGGGATGCGCTATCGGGTCGCACCGCCGATCCATCGGCGATGTGTCGCTGATTCCAGGGCGATGCCTCACCCCTTTGCGGGTCCCCCCTGCCGCGCTATCGTTTCGGGGGTGGACAGAACCCCCAACAGTGACACGTCGATCAGTGAATTGTCCGTTTTCGGTTTTCGTGAGGGCGCCGTGGCCGTTATTTTCCAGGCTTGCGCCCGCCAGGTTTGGGCCCGAAGTCGTTTTCACTAAACCACGTTTTACTAAAGGGAGGTCTGTCCATCCCCGATCGTTGCCCCTCACATGGACTTGAAGACATCCCAGGCGGAGTTTGTGAGCAGCTGTCGTTCTCTGGGGGACTCTGGCGGGCCCCGGGGTTGCCAAGGAACGACTGAGGATGAAACGTTGGCACTGAGGAAGAGGTCTGGACCTTCGGTTACCGCGTTTTGAAAAGTAAAGACATCGGATGTTTTGGGTCGATGGCGTCGAGGTCCGAGTTCCAAGGTTACTGGACGTCCACTGCAAGTTGTTGTTCCTCCAGGGGCGCCGTCGTCACCACGGCCCGATCCCCCATCTGGCGTTCTTGCCACGGCGCACCTCTGAAGAGGTCATCGGATCGTTTCCTGACCCCGCGTTGGACTGCAAAGGTGTCCGAAGGATTGCAAAAAAACCCTGGGTTGCAAAAAAAACTTGTTTTTTTTGGCAATCCTTCGTTCAAGAAGGTTTTTTTTGCAATCCTGGGTTTTTTTGCAATCCTTCGGGTTTTTTTTGCAATCCTTCGTTCGGTGTGCCTCCAGGACGTCTTGAGAGGCCCCCGCGGCCTCAAGGGCACCCAGCCCCAGGCCAGGAGGGTCCCTGGGGGACTCGAGAAAAGGACGCGAAAGCTTGGGGACACAAAGGATTGCAAACAAACTAAGGTTATTTTGCAATCCTTCGGGAAAACGAAGGGTTTTTTTTTGCAATCCTTTGTTTTTGTAATCTTTTTTTTTGCAATCCTGGGGCCAGGGGCACCCTGGGCAGCATCCTTGGACAACGAGCGCTGCACTGAGCAATGCAGCGTTGATGCACCTGTCAGGCGCAGAGCCGTGCATGCAGTCGGGCCGAGGCATGAGATCAAGGCCGGTTCGGGGAGGGTGCCCCAGTTTTCTTCGTGCTTGCTGAGCGTTCTTGTGCACCCTGGGGAAGGGTACCCGTCGAATGTTCTGCTTGTTTTGGCCGCGGTGGGTCTCATGTTCTTGCGGGATGTTCTTCTGGCCTAGGTCCGACTGTATGCCCGTCAGCGGCTGCCTGCCCCCTCCCGACCCTTCCGGGCCGCCTCCCCCACCCTCCCCCCCGTTGGTTAGCCTGCTTTTTTCGCCTCCCCCCTGAAGCTACCCCCCTCCCCCCTTTCGCCACTCCGAAGCTACCCCCCGCTCCCCCCCTTTCCAAAGGGCTCCGCGGCGATTCCTCGTCCCCGCGGCGGTTCATCGCCCCCCAGATGACGGTCAACCCGCACAGTAGGGGCCAGCAGTTTTCCAAGGCTGCCCTTGCATCCTTCCGCTTCGACCTATCCTCTTGGCCGCTTTCGCCGGCCGCCCCTTGCTCGCAGAGCGTCGACATGGCCTTCCGAGACGCTAGTGCCCCTGTCGCGCGTCGTTCTGCAACGGGCTGACTGTTCCGCTGCTGGCCCCACCTCTTGCTGGGACTCCGCGGCTCACCGCCTCTCGCGCCTTCCTCCTCCTCCTCCTCCTCCTCCTCCTCCTCCTCCTCCTCCTCGTCCCTCCTTCTCCTCCTCCTCCTCCTCCTCCTCCTCCTCCTCCTCCTCCTCCTCCTCCTCCTCCTCCTCCTCCTCCTCCTCCTCCTCCTCCTCCTCCTCCCCCCAATCCGCCCTCGAAGGCCTGCGACAGAGGTGCCTGGCGCTGCGACCGAAAAAACGCAGTCCGACCGAAGCTGCGGTCGATATATGGTCCAGGGCTTGGGCCCCCCCCCCAAAAAAAATCCGATGCCATTGGGGCACCCCCCCCCGCGCGATGGTCCCCCCCGCCGCCCCCTGTAGGCGTGGCGTGGTGCTGCGCTGCGGTGCCCCCCCCCCCTGTGGATGTGGTGTGGTGTTGTGGTGGTTCAGAGATGGGCGTGGCGTGGTGCTGCGCTGCGGTGCCCCCCTCCCCCCCGTGTGGATGTGGTGTGGTGATGTGGTGGTTCAGAGGTCGTCGTCGTCGTCGTCGTCGTCGTCGTCGTCGTCGTCGTCGTTGTCTTCGTCCTCGTCGTCCTCGTCGTTCTCGTAGTCCTCGTCGTCGTCGTCGTCATCGTCGTCGTCGTCATCTTCGTCGTCGCCGTCGTCATCGTCGTCATCGTCGTCGTCGCCGCCGCCGCCGCCGGCGTCGTCGCCGCCGCAGCCGTCGTCGTCGTCGTCGACCTGGTTGTCGTCGTCGTCGTCGTCGTCGTCGTCGTCGTCGTCGCCGCCGTCGTCGTCGTCGTCGTCGTCGTCGTCGTCGTCGTCGTCGTCGTCGTCGTCGTCGTCGTCGTCGTCTCTGGGACCATACCATCTGGGGGGGGGGAGGGGCCCGAGGAATCCTGGGACCATACCATCTGGGGGGGGGGAGGGGGCCCGTGGGCCTGGAGCCCGGGACTATATATGCCCAATCTTCCTGGCTCTTCCCACGGACGGCCACGCTCGGAAAAGTTCGGGGGCCGATTCCGACCACACCGTGGCAGAGTTGTCAGGGCACCGCTCCGGCCGGCCTGCCCCTCCGACTGCAGGACGCGTCGCACCGCTCGGAGGTGCGCGCTGTTTCTAGCAGGTCAGGGCCGCGGAGCAGCCTCCTCGTGTCGCCCTGCGGACAGAGTGCACGCACGCCACCGAAGCACGCACGGGGGCTGCTGTCGGGTATGGCCAGGACCCAGGGTAAGGGGACCCGGTTAGTGGTAGGGCCCCAGAGCCTTCGAATTGGCCAGTATCACTAAAAACCAGGTTTGCCACAGCTGGTGGTTTTTCCGGGTGACGGCAGTTCCGGTGAGTGGAAGTGGGACGGGGGGTCGCCCCCGGTACAGATCCCTAAACCAGGTTCCACGAAACCCAGTTCTACCAACGCCCGAGACTGGACGGCCGAGCGGTGGCGGGGGCGCGGCTGCGTGCGAGGTCCGCATGCGCCCCGCCTGCTCCGCGCCGGGGGCCCCCCCCCGCCCCACCGCCCGGCACGCTGTGTGTGCTGGGAGTCCGAGGAGGCCCTCCCCAGTCCGGGGGCGGCAAAGAGGGGGGTGATTACTAGGGGCGGGTGGAGATCATGGCGTGGGCCATGATAGTTCCCCATGATAGTTCCCCGAATGAAAGAGGGGGATAATTGGGGAAAGGGGGCGGAAATCTGCTGCGTGCAGCTGGTTTCGGCCCCCCCTTCCTCGATACATGGGCGCCTCCCGGCGCCGGGAGGCGCCAGGAAAATCAGCTAATTACGCGAGCTGATTCTCACCCCCCCCCTTTGCTATCCCCCCCTTTCGCCCGGCCCGACGGGGGCGGCGCCGGAGGTGCTGCCAACGGGGCTCCAGCGCCGATCCGAGAAATCCACGCGGACCTCCGAGTTTTTGTGCCTATGTCATTGCTTGTGCCCTTCTCCAGGTCCGCTTGAAAGGTTACCATGCGGGGCGCTGAAGAAGGAACCCTTTTCGTTGGGGAGGGGCTCCGTGTTCCCTAATTGTTTCAGCTTGCCTCAGGTTTTCCTTTTGTTTTCGACGGGATGTCGAAGTTTGACTTATGGAAAAAAGGAGCCTCGTTCCTTATTTAGGGTTCCTTAGGTCAACGCCCCGACTGGACCATGCGGGGTCCTGCAGTCGGAGTAGTGCACCTGCGGGGCCCCCCTGGAAGCACCGCCCCCCCGTGCCGCCCAGGAGCAGCCGAAGCGCCCGCCGCAGCGGGCCGCGGCGGCCGAGGCGCCTTCGCAGCGCGGGGCCGCCGCCTCGACGGAGAGCGCGCGCCCGCCGCGCCGTCGCAGCGCGAGCATTCAACCTGTTTCTCCCTCCCTCCCTCCTTCCCTGATTCACCCCTCTCCCTCTCTTTCTCTCTCTCTCTCTCTCTCTCTCCCTATCTCCTTCTTTTTTGCTCCGTCTCGGCCAGAGGGCCCCTAGCCCAAGGCGCAGCCGCGACGCGAAGCCCCCAAGCGCAGCTACCAGCTTTCTCCGCGCATGCCGGGATTACACACACACACACACACACACGCACGCACACGCACACGCACACGCACACGCAAACGCACACGCACACCCTCACGCACACGCGCACGCACACACACACACACACACACACACACGCACACACACACACACCGCAACCAACGGCGTGACTGAATCGGGTCATCTCTCTCTCTCTATATATATATGTATATATCCGCACGCGCCACAATGGTTTCTGAAAACCCTCGCCGTGTGATTCATGTACAATGCAGCCCAAACCACCGGGCAAGGACCGCCAAACCTCATGTCCAGAGAACCCTCTCGCGCGCCGGGAGGCGTGCACCGCTGGTCTCCGGAGCAGGTGCGGCGCAGACCAGGCTGCTGCAGCCTAAGACGACCTTGTCCAAAAGCCCCCAACCGACCCCGAAACCGTTTACCAGCAACACCGCTCCAACCAGCCTGGGCACCAGCCGTGACCCACCAGGGTTCATGGCCCTGGCCGTGATCCACCAGAATATTGGCGCAGTCCATATCATCAGCCCGACGAGTCTGCGTTCTAGAGGGCCGATTACGGGACTTAACACACCACTGGCATCCCATAACGCCCCGTCGAGCGTTAAGAACCTCCGGGCTACGACGGCAGACCTCGGACGAATTATGGCTGTCCAAACCATGCGTCCAGGATATCCCCGATCAGACCGACGCCTGGCTCCGCAGCCTCAAAGCAGAGCAGAAGACGCTCGCAGACATGGCAATGTGTGTTGCAACCACGGTGACCAGCGTGTCCACCAGCCAGGCGGCATTGGCCCGACAATGCCACCAGCTCGAACACATGGATCGCCTCTGTCCAAGCAGAGCAAACTGACCTGAACACATACCTAAGGGCTCATGACAAAGTCGCGAGCTGACGACTTGGACGGCGAATGGTACCCCTACGATGAGGCGGACGCGCGCGTGCCCCTGCGACGACTGGGACCATTGCGAAGAGTGGGACTCCCGCGACGAATGTGACCCCAGCGTGCCAGGTAGCGCGGGGGCCCGGGCGCATGGCATCGGGAATGAGCTTGGGCCGATCAGGGCAAACGCAGGGCCCGCCAGGGCCGACGCGGTGCCCGACGCAATGGGCCTCGTTCCGGCGCCTGTGTCTCCGCGTATCCAAGAAGGTACCGGGGTAAACGGATAACGCTCACCAACCAGCTAAGGGACCCCGTTCACGGCCAACATGGCACCGGCGTTGGCCGCACGAGGGAACAGAATCAGCATTTGGCTGTCCTGCTGACCAACGGTAGTATTGCCGTCCTGTTCACAGTTTGGCCCCCCGCTCCCCTCGGCAGTTGGCGCCCAAGGCCCCCCCCTTCATGTGGGGGAGCCCCCGTTTGTCCTCTCTGTCCACTGGGGGGATTCGGGGAGGGGAGCGGGGTCCGCCGGGACTCCGGGGGGCGGCAGTCTGACCCGAGACCCCCCCCTACCCCCCCCCGGCAGGGATGGGAAGAATCGAAGGGATCTGACTCAGGTGGTACGACGGCTATTTTCTATGTTCGTTTTCTTCTTCTCGGGACTGGCGACAACGACGACGAAGACGACGACGACGACGACGGCGTCTCACACGTCGGAGGGTCGGCGGATTAATGCCAACCGTCCCAAACCAGAACCGGGACCAGGACCAGTCACAGTTGCGATTCGGGTTGCGTCCACATTATTCATGGGTGATTTCTGTCGTCAGGCCCACATCACAACTGTGACCGGGGCCAGTCCTGGTCACAATTATGGTTCCGCTTGCATTGGTAGTGCAATAGTATTTTTAATTCCGTTCGGCCCAAACCACAGCCGTGACCTAGACCAGACATGATCACAGTTGTGTTTTGGGCTGCAGGAGCATGCGTCTAATTAGTTACGCAGTAGAGCCAAGCTCAAATCGTGACCACCAGTCTCGGTCACGGCAGCGGTTCGGGCTGCATTCGTATCACAGTGATACGTAACATCTAAAAGACCACCCTGTAGGTGGTAAGGAGGTTGGTGGGTGGGTGGAACAAAGAACTGACGACAACTGCAACGCCTGTGATGATGACGATGCTGGTGATGCGCCCTCGAGTTGGCGACGACACGTGGTGACGATGCTGCGCCGCGATGTGATGCCACGATCGAGTTCACGCGATCGATCTCACCACGGGGCACCGACGGGACACCAACAGAACACCGACGGGACACCAACGGGAAACCAACAGGACACCGCCGGGACACCGTCGGGACACCGACGGGACACCGTCGTGACAAAGACGGGACAGCGACGGGACAGCCACGGAACACCAACGGGACACCGATTGGACACCGAAGGGACACCGACGTGACACCACCGCCGGACAATGCGGCCACCGCCCGCCCACCGCGGTGGAGAGGCGGACAGCGACGGGACACCATAGCAAAACAACCCGGCCACCGCCCACCCACGGGGCAGGAAGGAGAGGCGGTCAACGGTTCATGACCCGTCCAGGCCAGAGCGGAGTTTTTCTTCTCTCCCGCCCACGAGCCTTCGCTTCGCCCGCACGCACGACACGAGGCCGATACCGAAACCGATTCTCAGGTGGGGGCTCTCCGTTGCACGTCGATCTCTCCCCACCACCTCCGCTTCTGAATGCCCATCGACCCAAACCAGAAGCGTGAGTGCGGTCCGGGCTGCATTACGTATTCATATTGCCGCCCGTACGACAGACCACGACCGCGGCAGAGCAGTCGCAGTGCGGCGTCAGTTACGTATGGTTCTGGTTCGGATGCTCAAGATACGGTGTTTTCACCAGCACCGGAGCTGTGCAGCTCCCGCGTGGGGCCCCCCCCACCCTTTTTGCAAGAGACAGGATGTCCGCCCACATGAATCCAGCTCGTATCGAGGCCGTGCCCATCCACATCGGAATCGCGTGCTCTTCCACGAGACTTCAGCACAATTCCTTGAATTCACTCAGGGTTGGTGCTCCCGTTTGGAGATTCTCTCATGTTTGAGTCACGACACCCGTGTCCGCCAGAGCTGTTCTCACAGGTTAGTGAGAACGGCGCTTCCATTGTGGACTTCCGCACACACCGTACAGGAAGCGCCTCCCCAGAGGAGTCCCCTTTCCCCATCCCCCCTCCCGCTTCCTCCCTCGAAGCCCCCCGCCCCCGGGACCTTCCTCCTCCCCCCCATCTCGTCTCACGCCTTCTCCCCCCTTTGATCGGAAACCGGAACATCTACATTACCAGTGGCGGGCTGCTTCTCCATCCAAGGACTTTTCGAGGGTCGGGGACGACGTCGGGGTGGTATGGTGTGTACTTGTTGCTTCCTGTTCCCAGGGAACAACTAAAAAGCGTCTACACCAGGATCCCGTACACACCTGGATCCGCTTTCCTGTGCTAATTTCAGTGCAGGGCCGGAAAACCGTCGGTGCATAGAGTTCGGTTCCCTGTTTGAAGTTGCAGTTCACTGGCCGCCGGGCGCCCCGTGCGGGGAGGGGCAGCCTGCGAGTCCGCTGGTGATGTCTCAGGCCTGCTGGGCCCCTCTCGGCCAGGCGACCGCCCATCCTCAATGCGTTTGAGCTCGCGCGTTGCCTTGTTTCCACCCCCCTTGTCGCCCTTCAGATCCCCAACCTGCCGTTCGTCAAGGAGTGTGCCAGGGAAGCTGCGGGCCCCAGGAGATTCCCAATCTGAGGGGGGCGGCGGTGGCATCCAGGGCCAAGCCTCGATTGGCTCTCCACCATCCCTCAGAGCTTGGAGTCCTCATCCAGCCCCCTCCGGCGTATCTGATGGATTCATATTCCATTCGTTGTTTTGTTTTTAATTAAAAAAATATTCGAAAGGTCTTCGATTTTTTTGGGAGCCAAGATCCTTTCATGTCTAATTCTTCTGTCCTGGGCCTCTTCCTGGCCGCTAGGGGGCCAGGAACAATTAGAAACGAGCACAATTAGAAATGAGCGCGATTAGAAAAGAACGACGCGTATCTGATGGATTCAGATGCCCAACCAGGGCTGGGAGGGCAGGCCAGGGCCGGTTCCGCGCGGCAGCGCGCCGTCCGTCCAACACACCTCGTGCACCTCCAGCTCCTCCTCTCCCCCCCTGGATGCCTCCACGGCATCGACGTCCTGTAACGTTCTTCACGCTTGTCTTCTTTCAGTTGTATATCTATACATATATCTGTATGTGTATATATATATATTGCGGGTGTTGTTTTGAGTAGTTTGAGATTTTCGCCCAAAGTTCCCCTGTAGGGGGACAGGCCCGACCTAAGCCTAACCAGGGCTGAGAGCCCGAACTAAGCCCAACGCCTCCACGGCATCGACGTCCTGCCACTTTCCTCACGCTTGTCTTCTTTCAGTCGAATACGGAGGAAGGCTCAGGCGGGAGCCTAGTCGGCGAGTGAGTTGCGCGACAGTTTTGGGCGGGAGCCCCCTCCGCATGGGGTCCGCAGCCCATGTCATCAATCCGAGCGGGCCATCGGAAACTGGTAATTGTCGGCATTTCTCGCCTCGTCAAGCTTGAGTCTGGAGAAAGCCTCCCCCCCTCTCTCTCCCTTCCCATCCGTGTGGGGGGTCGGGGGGGGCGCCCCCTCCTCCCCCCCCCAAAGAGGACGCGAGAGAGAGCAAGGAGGAGGTCCTCCCCCCCCCCCCTTGGATGCCTCCAAGTGTGTGGTGGGGGGGCGCCCCCTCCCCCCCCCCGCCGAGGACGCGAGGGAGAGCGAGGAGGAGGTTCTCCCCTTCCCTCTGGATGCCTCCAAATGTGTGTGTGTGTGTGTGGTGTGTGTGTGGTGTGTGTGTGTGTGTGTGGTGTGTGTGTGTGGTGTGTGTGTGTGTGGTGTGTGTGTGTGGTGTGTGTGTGTGTGGTGTGTGTGTGTGTGGTGTGTGTGTGTGTGGTGGTGGTGGTGTGTGGTGGTGGTGGGGGTGGTGGTGGTGGTGTGGTGGTGGTGGTGGGTGGGTGGTGGTGGTGGTGGGGGGGGGGGGAGGGGGGGGGGGGGGGGAGGGGAGGCTCCCCCCCCGGCTCCCCCCCCCCCCAAAGAGGACGCGAGGAAGAGCGAGGAGGAGGTCCTCCCCTCCCCTCCTGGATGCCTCCAAAAGTGCATGTGTGTGTGTGCGTGTGTGTGGGGGGGGGGCGCCCCCTTGCTCCCCCCGAGGACGCGAGGGAGAGCGAGGAGGAGGTCCTCTCCTCCCCTCTGGATGCCTCCAAAAGAGTGTGGGGGGGGGGCGCTCCCTCCTCCCCCCCCCCCCGAGGACGCGAGGGAGGGCGAGGAGGAGGCCGCGCCCTCGCGGCTGGGGGCCTTCGCGTCGATGCTGGGGCTCGCCGGAAGGCCGGCGAAGGACGCCCCATGGGACGAGCACGGAGGGCGATGTCCGCGAGATGGGTCTCGTTGTGCGTGGGTAGGGGGCCGCATGCGAACCCTACCCCTACCCCCCACGATTTCTGAACCCCACCCTCCCCCTCAGAAATCGTGGGGGGGTAGGGGTAGGGTTCGCATGTGGCCCCCTAGTGGGATCTGCGGGGGGGCGGACGGGGGGGCTGTTCTCGAAGATCGGAGGAGGAAAAGGTTCAGGAGGGGAATAAACACACAGACACAATGAATCGTCGATTCCCACGAAAATATTGGAAAATATGGGAAGTGGGGGGGAAGACAAAAACCCAGAAAATATGGGGAATCCTTTTATTCGTGTTTATTTGTTTGTGTGTCCCAGGGTCCCGTCAAAGGTACCCATACCTCTACCCTTCGGCCGCTTTCCCTCCTCTGGGCCTCCTGGGCCTCCGTCGTCGCCACCGCCGGATTCGCATCGCATTTGTTGGGTCTGAGCGCACCCCGGGAGAGGTCCGGGGAGCAGCGGCATCGGTACCTCTGGGGGTCCCCAGCAGAGCAGGCCTGAACGTTCGGAGCTCCGAGAGCGTCCGTTTGTGCAGCTCGCTCGCTGCGCAGGTCTCGGCATCCCCCAGAAGGTGGTCGGAGCAACCGGGGGTCGGAGCATCGCGCCGCGTCGCCGACGCATCGCCGTTGCGTCGGCGGTGTTCTCCGAGCCAACGTCGCCTCCGCGTTTCCTCCAGCCCCATCCACTCTTATAGGTCGGGCATGTCCTCCTACAGGCGGGGCTCAGACGAAAAATGAAGAGATTCCGTAGGCAAATACGCAAATGATACCGGAGAAAAATCCCAGTCAGATTTGTTTTGGGGGGGCTATATAGGGCTATTGGGCTATTGGGCTATAGGGCTATAAGGCTATTATATGGGCTATAGGGCGATAGGGATATAGGGCTATAAGGCACCCAACACCCGGGCACCCACCCGGGCACCGGGCACCCGTCACCCGGGCACCCGGGCACCCGGGCATCCAGGCATTCGGGCCCGGCCAACGAATGGGCGGCGAACGCGGGCACCCGGGCACCCGGCCACCCGGGCCCGGTCATCGAATCGGCGGCGAACCCGGGCACCCGGGCACTTGGCCCCGCGGGCGATTATTTCGCATAATTTGAGGTTCTTGGAAGATATGGAAAGAGGTTCTTCGCAGGACTCACATTGGGCGCTCCTTCGCATTCTTCTTGCACTCGGGGCACACAAAAACAGAGGAACGAGATATATGTTAGGGCCCAGCCGAATTTCGATAGAGGAAAAGGATGTCCTGAGGTTTTTCCAGGTTGTCTGGCCCTGAGCTGTTTCCAGGTCGTCTGGCCTTCGGATCGGCTTCGGCGATCCGAAACCATTTCGTGCTGCGGTGCCCGCCGCAGGGCCTGGCCGCCACGGTAGTGGGGCTACTCGGCGTGGCGACCGTCCGGGGGCGACCGCAAAGAGGGCCCGTTGCCCTTTTTGTTGTATGCCTCATGCGCCGGAGATTGTTCCAAAGTGATGGGCCTGTTTTCCACCACCAGCACCATACATAAGTTGGGGGGGAAAGAGGTCCTCGTCCTCCTCGTCCTCCTCCTCGTCCTCCTCCTTCCCCCCCTCCA